TGGGAGCTTCTCACAATGTGCATTAGAAGGTGCAGCAAGTCAGATAGAGGCCCGCCTCATTTCCTGGCTGGAGGACGCCCAGCATCATCTAGGCCTGTTCATGACTCACCCCTTTCATTCGATTTCAGTTCTTTCAATCATGGAGGCTCATAATCACATGTAGGCGTTACCTAGGACAGCCCCCATGCAAACACAGCCTGCCTGGGAACGCCCGCTCCTCCAGACTGACACCCATCAAGGCATTTTGACATTTGCAACTCCTCCCAAGATCCAGTCCACTGCTTGCATCAGGCCTGAGAGCTCTGGAGAGGAGTACTGAGGCCCCTCCCACCAGCCATGATCTGCCTGCATTGCATAGACATGCAGAGACCCAGTGATGACATCATGGGGTCTATAACAAGGCATGTAATGAAAACGGTAAGGTTTCATTTAAAAATATGATTAGCATGTTGATGAGGGAGGAGGGGGGAGGGGGAACCAGGGGAGGCAACATATAAGCAGATTGAACTTGAGCTTTCAAAACAAATTGATTGATTGTATTGTGTTTTTGGGAGTTGAGTTTTAGGTTCAGCACACGCTCTCGTGTTATAATGAGGATCCCATCTGCAGTCAGCCATCACTCCGGGAAGAGATTAGAACTTCTTTGAACTCGGCCTGGATTTAGCACCAGCTGCTGCTATCACTTCGCGGTCACCTTGGCGGCTTCGCGGTTCCAGGCCGGTGTATCATTAATGAGAGGACGGTCTGCCGTTCAAAGTCACGTTGCGATCGTCTGGCGAGGTGGAGTACCTGTCTCGTCCTCCTCAAGGACGGGCCTGTCTGAGGCTGTGGTTTTCTTCTGTTCCATTCAACATAAATAACATTGTATTCAGTACGTTCACCTTTCCCACAGAGGACATCGATCCGGGTGTTTGGGGGGGTCGCTGATTTTATCGTTAGTGGGATTGGATGCCTAATAAAAGGGACCCCCTGTGATCTTCATGTTAGAACCGATAATATTCGGAACATGAATGTTTTATTTAAAGGAGAACTATGGGGTCAGGGTTTTTCCCCATAGTTCTCCTTAGGGTAACGGGAGGACACAAACTAGCGTCCTCCCATCACCCTAGGCTCAGTATATAGGGAGCCACAGCTCGCGGTATACTGAGACGCCGCAGCGGATCCCGACATCGACGTCGAGATCCGCCCAGCTGCGTGAGTGACAGCTGGCTCTGCCTATCTAGAGGCAGAGCCAGCTGTACCCGCCCCCTCCCCCGTCTGTTCCGCCAGTCAGCGCTGGCGGATCGGAGCGG